CTTTTCATGTACTTATTTGCCAAGAGTGATCTTTTCAAAACTCACGTCAAATCATGTCAATCCCCTACTTAGGGCCTGATGGCTTCCCAGGGCACTAGAATAAAACCATCACTCTGACCAACCAGGCAGGGGCCAGATTCAGCCAACTCTATTTTCTGCCTCTCTTCCCCTTGCTTTCTCCACTCCAGCCACATTGGCCTCCTCTCCCTCCTTGAGACCAATGCGCTTGCTATTTCCTATGCCTACAACGCTATTGGCTCTGATTTTCACCTGATGGGGATGGGGGAGCTCTTTCTCATTTTTCAGTTATAAGCTCAATATCACCACTTCCAAGAGGCCTTCCATGACTACCCTGACTCAAGTAGCCACATCCAATCACTCTCCTATTGTATTGCTTTGTTTTATTTTCTTCATAGAACTTAGCCCTATTTAGCATCATCTTATTAATTTATGTATGTGCAGATTGCCTGTTTCCCCTCAAGAAGGCCAGGGATTCCTGTCTGTTGTGTTCCTAGATGCCTAGAAGAGCCCCTGGCACACAATAGTTGCTTGGGATCTATTTGCATCAGTGATCGAATCTCTAGCACCTAACAGTGTGCTTGGCAAATGATGGAGTTTAACAAATATGGGTTGACTGAACCTCATTCTCATATTGAATCTATTATGATCTCTTCAAGCTCCCCAGGCATGGTTTGGCCCTGATAAATCCTCCCCAAGCCCTGATCTCTTTGCCTCCAAAGCTTCAGAATCAGAGACAAGCTAGAACAGAAAGAAAATAGCAATGGAGAACAATCAGCTGAATTGAGATTCGGAGTACAAAGAAAGTCTACTAAAGGATTGTTTTATTTTACTTTTGTTGCACAATAAACCACCCCAAAACTTTGTGGCTTAAAACAACCACAGTGATTTATTTATCTCATAATCTACAGTTGGAGCAAAAGACTCAGTGGGGAAGGTGTGCTCCTGCTTCAAGCAAAGTCAGCTGGGCAGCTCAGCTGGGCACTGGAGGGTCCACTTTTTTCTTTGCGGTACGCGGGCCTCTCACTGTTGTGGCCTCTCCCGTTGCGGAGCACAGGCTCCGGACACGCAGGCTCAGCGGCCATGGCTCACGGGCCCAGCCGCTCCGCGGCATGTGGGATCCTCCCGGATCGGGGTACGAACCCGTGTCTTCTGCATCGGCAGGTGGACTCTCAACCGCTGCGCCACCAGGTGAAGCCCTGGAGGATCCGCTTCTGAGATGGTTCAATCACATGGCTGGCTAATTGAAGCTGGCTGTTAGCTGGAAGCCTGGGTGCGGCTCTGGCTGAAACACTTACAGGTGCCCTCTTCGTGTGGCCTGGGATCTTCACAGCATGGTGGCTGGGTCCTAAGAGCAAGCATCCCAAGAGGACCAGGCGGAAGTTCTATCCATTTTTATGACTTAGCCTCAGAAGTCACACAGCATCACGTCTCTCTGAGGGTCACAATCTCTCCCGGACTCAAGGTGAGAGAACTTACCGGATGGAAGGAGCATCAATGTCATATTGTAAAAGGAGCATGTGGGAGGGAAGATCTTGTTAAGGCCACCTTGGAGAACACAATCTGCCACAAGGATAGGTCTTACCAACCTACAGAGCAGTAGAGAGGAGCCCTTGTGATGACGTCTGTCACTTGTCTCCCAAAGATTTATACACAAGCAGCAGGTCCAGCCCCTGGAGGGCAATCTCTGAGCAAGGATCATCCATCCTAGCTGCCCCTCTCACTGGTTCTAGGTTCCCGCTTCTGTGCCACCAGTTCATCCAACAGCTAGGCTAATCCTGCCCCCAGTTGAGTCTGAATCCTCTGGCCATGGGTACAACAACCCTGAGGACCACCTGGGGGACACTCCAGGAAGACAAATCTACAAAGTGGTTAAGGGTGTGACTTTGAAGATAGGTAGACCTAGATTCAATTTCAGCTCTGCCTTTTATTAGCTTTGTGACCTTGGCCAAGTTACTTAACCAAGTCTCATAAGAACCTCAGTCTATTCTTCTGTCTAATGGGGATAAGAAAGGCTATAATGGAATTAGAGATCATATGTTTAGCACATTGCTAGCAGTTAACAACTACTAAATATATGGTAGGTATTTTTCTAATTTCTACTAATACAAAAACGCATAGAAGAAAGCTTTTCAACCTTTTTCCTTGGGGGAAAGTTACTGCAATAAGTATGAAATTTCTTTTGTTTTAGCTTTAAAATTTACATACTTTTTTTTTCATGTGCCATAGTCTATCTATGCCAGTTTAATATGCCTATTCCCCAGGTAAAAACTTTTATCAAAAAAATCTGACTGAATGGTGCTCTAGAAAGATGTTTCCTGGCATCCTGTAGCTCTGTGTACCCCAGGGCGGGGGTATGTATATTCCAGCTTTTTTGTTTGTTTTGTTCTGGTTTTTTTTTTTTTTAATGAGAAGACTTGTTTAAATTGAAGACACTTTTTTTTTTATTTTAATTTATGACTGTGTTGGGTCTTCGTTTCTATGCGAGGGCTTTCTCTAGTTGTGGCAGGCGGGGGCCCCTCTTCATCGCGGTGCGCGGTCCTCTCGCTATCGCGGCCTCTCTTGTTGCGGAGCACAGGCTCCAGACGCACAGACTCAGTAGTTGTGGCTCACGGACCCAGTTGCTCCGCGGCATGTGGGATCTTCCCAGACCAGGGCTCGAACCCGTGTCCCCTGCACTGGCAGGCAGATTCTCAACCACTGCACCACCAGGGAAGCCCTGTATATTCCAGTTTTGAGAAGCAAAACCAACAAGTTGTGCCCTGCTTAATGGTGCGCCTGGGTGTCAGAGAGGCTAAAATCTAGCACGCACTAGGCTTATTAAGCCACAGTGGCCACTAGTCTGTGTTGACCAAAGGGATTTATACAGAGGTTAAAATAAATGTTATCTTTTTTTTTTGGGCTGTGCCACATGGCATATAGGATCTTAGTTCCCCGACCAGGGATGGAACCTGTGTCCCCTGTAGTGGAAGCGTGGAGTCCTAACCACTGGACCACCAGGGAATTCCCCAAATAACTATAATTTTAAAAACCTAGGTCCAGTATGTTTAGCAACCCCAGAGTGTGTCAAGCACACAGTCTTTGTGCCCAATCTCAGATTCATCTTCATTCTGATCTCTTCTGAACCTGTAGAAACATGATCGCTTAAGCTTCCTGAACAGCCTGTGCTCCTCACTGCTTAGCAGCTCCACAGCCCTCTCTCCTACAAGGGTTTTCCCTCCAGTCCCCTGGCTTTAAATACCATCCATATGACGCTGATGACACTCCCAATGTATATCTCCAGCCCCAGTGTTTCCCCTGATCTTCAAGCTCACAAGTCTAACTGGCTGAGGGGAAGCTCTACCTAAAGCGTCAAAACAGAACTCTCCATTTTCCTATCCCATTGTCCCCATCTCAGAAAATGGCTGCCAGCCACACCATTGCTCATGCAAAGATTTTAGCCATCCTTGACTCCTTTTTCCTCTTGACTCTCATCTCCTATCCTAATTTTAGCAAATTCTGTTGACCCAGCACTTCTCCCCAGCTCCACCATCACTACCTTTGTCTAGCCACCATCATCTCTTGCAGAACAATTTGCACAGCTCTCTCCCTGCCCCCACTTTGATCCCCTATGCTCCTTTCTCCAGACTAGGCAGGATAAGCCTTTAAAAGCAGGAATCGTATCAGAACACTCCCCTGCTTAAAACCTACCAATGGCTCCCGATTATACTCAGAATAGAATACAAACTGCTCACCATGGCCAATGAAATTCCACACCCACCCATTTGTGTGAGGTCAGATTTTAATCTTCATATAATCAAAACAATATCTCATAATAGTTTGAAAACAGAAACAGATGTGAGACTCCAGCTGTCTCATATTAAGCCAGACATTAAAGAAATTGGGAAAAATGTAAAACAATGCCACTATTTTCACTACATATTTTTTTGACTTTGGAAAATAGAGTTATTTTTCCTAGAAAATGAAAATGTTACTTATGTCGGGTTTTTTTTTAATTAATTAATTATTTTTGGCTGCATTGGGTCTTCGTTGCGGTGCACGGGCTTCTCGTTGCAGAGCACAGGCTCTATGCATGCCGGCTTCAGGAGTTGCAGCACGCGGGCTCAGTAGTTGTGTCTAGACAACTAGCTGTTGTCTAGGAACTCTGGAAGATCTCTTCAGAAGTAGTCACGCTCTTTATTCTCCCGCCCAGGGACATTTTCGGGCCTTGGCCCACTCCCTCCTTTCCTACCAGCTACTGCCCACTACGCTCCAGACAGAGAAGGACACTCATCTCTTCTACTGTAAGTTGGCTATAGACTTTAGGCTAGGGACACTACGACCGCATTCGCACAGCTGCTAGTTCTCTGACACCACCACTGCTGAGCCAGGAGCCCAGAACCATCAGACTGGAGGGAGTGAGGCAGCAGGACATCTTGGAGTTTTTGAGAGAGTAAGGGCCCTACAAGAAACAACTGCAGTTCAGAGGTGCAGCTATCGCCCACGGTTACAGCAGAGCCGGGTCTAAGACTCGGGCCTCCTGGGTACCACACCAGCTTGTAGGTTCTCCTTTTCCCGGTCACCCAGCAGCGAGGGTGACGTGCTGTCCGCTAAGACACAACGCTCTGCGCCGTGGCGGGCCTCGCAGCCCGCCTGGAGGACGTCGCACCCCTACTGCCTCAGGTAGCTGGAAAAGCTCAACCAATCCAGAGGGCTCTGAGGCAAAGAAGGAGGTTAGAAAAGGAAAAGTTTAGGACAGGAGTGCTAACCAATCGGGCGCCCACCTGCCTGAGTGACGGCCACCAGCACCCACTTGGAGACGCCGCCCCGAGCTGGGGGGATGGTTAGTGGAGAGTGAACCAATCCCTGACGAGGGAAGGCAAATTTGAGCCAATGATAACTGAGAAGGTGGGAAGGGGCGGAGCTCTCCCGGTGGCTGGTCGGTGGTGAGTGAAGAGATCAGCTTTCTCTGCTAGTTCCCACCCTCGGACTTCTTAGCCCCTGGAATGCGAGAGAGGTTCAGGGAGTTCCCGGAGTGGGGCGTAGAGGTATCGCCCGCAAAGGCCTGGGGGCGAGACTTCTAGTTGAAGGAGGTGCTGGAAGCTACCGGGTGGGCATCGAGGAAGCGGAGGCTGCTTAGGAGGCGGGACTTCCGGGGAGGGGCTTTGTCGACAGGGCGGGGCCTGCTGCTAAGGTTAGGCCGAAGGGGCGGGGCTAAAAGTAGACCACTGGGTGTGACCTGGGAGAACGAAGGGTAGTAATTTAAGCGAGCGTCTTGGGGTCAGGACTGTGCTGCCAGAGGCTTTGGGGTGGCAAGTAATAGCTCAGAGGTGACGTTATGGTTTATGGGAGGGTCACCTGCCCTAACCCCCTGTCCTCTTTTCCCAGGGAGCCACTGGTGGCGACCTTCCTAGGGTCCCTTTCCCTCCGTGGGGTGCTATGGAGTTCCCAGAACACAGCCAGCAGCTGCTGCAGAGCCTCCGAGAGCAGCGGTCCCAGGGTTTCCTTTGTGACTGCACGGTGATGGTGGGTAGCACCCAGTTCTTGGCCCATCGGGCTGTGCTGGCCTCCTGCAGCCCATTTTTCCAGCTTTTCTACAAAGAGCGGGAACTGGACAAGAGGGATCTGGTGTGTATCCACAACGAGATTGTCACAGCTCCAGCCTTTGGGCTGCTTCTGGACTTTATGTATGCCGGCCAGCTGGTCCTGAGGGGGGATACCCCTGTGGAGGATGTGCTGGCAGCTGCCAGCTACTTGCACATGAATGATATTGTCAAGGTGTGTAAGCGGCGGCTGCAAGCCCGGGCCCTGGCGGAGGCGGATAGTACCAAGAAGGAGGAAGAAACCAACTCACAGCACTCTAATTTGGAGTTTTTGTCCAGCACTTCCCGTGGTCCCCAACCTTCTTTGGCATCTGCAGAGACATCAGGCCACTGGGGCAAAGGGGAATGGAAAGGCTCAGCAGCTCCCTCACCTACTGTCTGTCCTCCAGATGAGCCACCGATGCCGGCTGGGGCTGATACTACACAGCCTGGCGTGGAGGTTGACTCACCGCATCTGCGGGCACCTCCTCCACCAGTGGCTGATGTCTCTCTTGCCAGCCCCAGTAGCTCCACAGAAACCAACCCTGCAAACTACTTCTCTTCGGGCCTCCCAACGGTTTCAGTGGATCCACTGGCTCCCCTTGATGTGGTTTCTGAGAATCTGAGGGTGGTGGAACCAAGGGGAACTGGAGGCCCACTGCAAGGCTTCTATCCCCCAGCTTCGGCTGCAGTCCCAGTCCCAGCCCCAGTTCCATCCCAGGCTCCAGCCCCAGCAGAAGCGGAGCTGGTCCAGGTGAAAGTAGAAGCTATCGTGATTTCCGATGAAGAGCCCGATGCCTCGGAGGAACAGCCTCGGGGTCCTGAGGGACTGTTCCCACCTGGAGGAGCAGTGTATGGTGAACAGCCCCCCCAGCCAGAGGCCTTTGAAGAGCCAAGGGCAGCAGGACTGGAGGAGGTGGGGGCCAGTGACCACTTCCTGCCGCCAGATCCTCACCTACCCTACCATTTGCTGCCAGGTCCAGGGCAGTATCATCGAGGACTGGTGACCTCACCCCTGCCTGCTCCGCCCGCCCTGCACGAGCCACTCTACCTGCCTTCCGAGTATGAAGCAGCCCCGGGAAGCTTTGGGGTTTTTACGGAGGATGTTCCCACTTGCAAGACATGCGGGAAGACCTTCTCATGTTCTTACACACTACGGCGTCATGCCACAGTGCACACGCGTGAGCGACCCTACGAGTGCCGCTACTGCCTGCGCAGCTACACGCAGTCAGGGGACCTGTACCGCCACATCCGCAAGGCTCACAATGAGGACCTGGCCAAACGCAGCAAACCGGATCCAGAGGCTGGCCCCCTCCTGGGAGTGCAGCCCATCCCTGGCTCCCCGACAGCAGACAGACAGAACAGCAGTGCTGGAGGGCCACCCAAAGATTTTGTACTTGGCCCCAAAAACTAACACGCCCTGATGCCAGGCCGGCTCTTGCCACCGTTAGGGGGCAGCACGGAAGGTGGGAAGCATCTCATTTCCCCTGCTGGGGACAGAATGAAGATTCTGCCCAGGCTGTAGGTTCCTACCCTTTTCTTTTCCCAGCCAGATAGCAGGACTTTATGGGGCATCGCATCTCAGTCAACTCCTCACCAAGGGCACTGGGAATTTTCCTGAGGTGTAATCGCTTCTCACTCTGCGTTTGGACCCATAAAGCTAGCAGTGAAAAGTATCTCTCTGAACTGGACTTGCCTGGTTTCTTCCACAAAACTGCACCCTGCTGATTCTTTCACAGCTCTCCTCCAGACCTAGGAATCTGATAACTGTACTTGGGGTAGGGGTGGGGGTCAGGTTGTTTATGAGGAAAAAAGTGGGAGAGGCAGAGGGCAGTGTAGACTTTACTTAGGAAAAGTGTACAAATTAGGGAATTTCACACAATTATGGTTTATTGTTGTAGTTGAGCTCCTCCTGTGTCCCGGGCTGTACTGGGGACTTCACATAAATACTCATTTAATCCTCAACAAGTTTATGAGGTATTATCCCTCTCCCCGCTTTTTTCCCCACAGACGAGGAAACTTGAGACTGAACAATCAACGTTAACTTGTTCTGGGTCACAGAGCTAGTTAAGGGGCAAGCCAGAATTTGAACCCTGGCTTATGACTTCAGATACCATGCTGGTTTAAAACACTGTTGAAGATGGTTAACTTTGAACTAGAAGTTGTTTTCTTTTGTGACCTTTTGAGTGTTTGGTTTTGTTGCCTTACCCCTTTCCCTCTGCTTTCCATGTAGAAAGGCCTTTGATTGACTGTTTCAACAACAGATACCTTTTGAGTGTTTGGTTTTGTTGCCTTTTTTTTTGAGTGTTGCCTTACCCCTTTTGTTGCCTTACCCCTTTCCCTCTGCTTTCCATGTAGAAAGGCCTTTGATTGACCGTTTCAACAACAGATACCGTATTGATGACTTGAAATTTTTGCCTGCGTGTCTTAAATGTGCATTGAGGTCTCTGAAGATGACAAACTGGAAGGCAGAAAACACTAAGCTCCACGGTGGTAGGCGTGTGGGGGCAGACTGAGGACTTGTGAAATGGAAATGATGGGCGCTTGGGAAAACTAAAGCAAGAAACTCTAGATGAGACAATCTTAGAGTTCATCTGGTCTAACTCCCTCACTTAAAAGTTGTGATGACGGCCTAGACAGGTCAGATTACTCAGGTACGGTCACACAGGTGGTTACTGACAGTAGAGATAGCAAAGAAATGGGAATTTGGGGTGTTGGTGTGGCATGGGGGGAAAAAGCATTCTAGGAATGTAAGAGAAGGGTCTGCCCCTGCCTGTGGTGAAGAGTGGTGTTTGTAGGATGGACCAGAGGGCTCCCCACAAACTCTCTCTCTTTGGCACATAAGGAACTGAATGCAAAAAAAGCAGGAAGGAGTATTTAGAAAAAGATGAAAATATGAGTGAATTTTCTGAATTTCTTCTCTCTCTTTTTGGATTTGTCACATTCAGCCCTGTGAACTCGCACTAGCAAGCTGTTTTTGAGTCATAGGAAGGAGACAGAGCTGAGCATCAAAGATTTGGCCAAAGAAAGCTCCTTACTTGGGGTATGATGGGAAGCAAAAGTTGACGCTTAACATTTCCATGGCTGAGAGACTGAATTCTGTGCTTTTCATTTTCCTTGTGTTGGAATAATCTTTTATTTTTCAAATGGCTAATTTTATTTATGCAAATACATTACTGCCTTAACTCCTTGGTGAAACAAGGCAAGATATACATACATACAGTAAGAGCTATTTTAGCTGACTGGAGCACCTTTTCCTGGAGTAAGTATCACATCAAAATGCCTATAAGAATCAGTTGCCTTTAAAAGAGTGAAATTTAAGGTATGTGAATTATCTATCAATTTTTTAAAAAAGGAGGGGGGAAAAAAGAAATCGGTTGCCTCAGAACATCAGTTCCTAAAAGCAAGGCATAATAAATATGTGTACATGTATATATAGTATATAATTTCTCTGGACCATCTGGGGAACACAGGAACCTTGTTACTGTCTCGGCCAAGTGCAATACTTAACTAAAGAGGATGTGTTAACTTGGTGAGATTCTCCTGAAGAGCAAGCATTTGCCTTTAGTTCCCAGCATGGAATGCTTTCTTCATTGGAGGTGGCAGCCAAGAATTTGCAAGATGTTTAAAGCAGCAGCCAACACAATTACGGCCACAGTTGCCTCACTTTATCTATCTGCTGGACACCAAGAACAGTTTAGGCCTGTCTGTAGAGGTGTGATCAAGAGAACTTTCTCTGGTTTCCACTACTCTTGACAGTCCCATCCATGGATTCAACGAACCATAGGCCAGCTCATCTAACCTCTAGTCCAACACTGGATCCTCCTTTTGCCAGGTGTTGAAAGAGAACTCACTATTCCCAAAGGAAACATATTCTACTGTTGGACAACCCTAATTGTTGGATAATTATTCCTTCTACTGAGCCAAAATCGGCCTCCTTTTATGGTGGGATGGGCCAGGTCCCAGGCTATTAAGAGTTTAACCCTGAGAAGTTATTTGCTTTTGAGCTACAAGCTGATTTAGTTTTCAGACGACCACCCTTTGCTCTCCAGCTTTAGAGACCGCTTCCTAGTTTAGGATTTCATTTCTTAATTGGTATTTTGTAAGTGTATGCCTTCACTTGCTCTTAGCTTCACAAAACTCACCATTTTAGCCCTTCACATTAGATTTCACTTTCTCCAAAGCCAGTGTTTCCAAAGATGGTTTACTTCAATATATACTAATACTTTTATTTTTTTACTGTAAAATACATTTATTTCTATGGTTGATTGGTTGTTTTGTTTTGGGGTTTTTTTGTGTGTTTTTTGGCAAATGATATGCAGTGCTCTAAAGTCCCCTCCCCAATTTTATCAGTAAGCAATTTCAGCATGCACCTCTAAAAGAACTCTTAAAAAGACCAAATACCATGATCACACCCAGCAAAACTGTTAATAATTCTTGTTCAAATTTCCCTGATTGTCTCGTAAACTTTTAGTTGTTTTTTCAAATCAGAATCCAAATTCCAAGGGTTTTAGGAGATCTGTGCCAGGAGCTGGGAAGAGACCAATATATATATTTTTTCTTATTTCACACACAGTCTCATAAAAACTTTTAGTTGTTTTCTTCTAATAGAGTCACATTTATTTGGTTGGTGGCTCTTAAACTTCTTTCAATTTATAGGTTCCCCTCTCTTTTTCCTTGCAATTTATAGAAGAAATTGGTTTATTCATCTTATGGTTTCAGCCTGGGGTTTGCTGATTACGTCCCTATGGTATCATTTAACATATTCCTCTGTCCAAAAATTCCTTTCAAAATATATATTTAAGTAAAATATTGACTAAAAAGTCGTATAGGTAGTATGTGATTTTGGCAAAACTGTAAAGATGATGGGTATTGGTTTGGAGGGAAACACTGTTCTAAACTGTCCCTTATGTGCAGTATGAATCCTCACATCACCATGAATGCTTTCTCTTCAATCAAACCCTCAAATCCTGTGTGGAAACCATTAAGGATTTGTAAGGTGAGCAGCCCCCCCCTCCACAAACTTCTGAGTACAGAGATTGAGGTACCTCTGGCTGATTCCTTCAGGATGTGGGCTGGCCAGACCTCCTCCAGACCCACATCTGACTGCCTATCTTTGTCCACTTTCCCGTTCGTTAACATCTCTGTTAGGAGCTGGCCTTCAAATTAAAGGCGAAATGTAAGTCTGACCACTTTGTGTCTTAGAAGTGCTAAAAAGGGTTAGTGCAATAAATTTCTACAGTACATTTTTAAATATCAGTTTTATTTTTTCCTAATTGATGCAGAACATAGCTTACTGTAACATCAAGTCTTAGGGGAAAAAAAGAAAATCAGAAAGCAAAACCAACCCCAAACAAACATAACACACAACCATGCACGACATAATCTGGCAACAGTCTAGGCTTAGAAATTTAAGAAACTTGGAAGAGGAATAAAATATTCAACTTTTGTTAGTTCTGTCCTTGGACTTAAAAGAGTATTTGGTATGAAAACTTTTTGTTTGTAAGTTGATGGCTGTATTATTTAAGGGTACAGGGAGACTCAAAGAGGAGCCTAGCTCATTGAGAGAGAGGCATTACTGATAAAGGGAGAAGAGCTTGTGTACACTTGGCAAGACTAAGGGGTTTTTGTCTGAAATCTGTCTGTGTATGATGGCTAATGATACATGCTTATTACCTTCACTCATAAAGGTAGAAGCAGTGCTATTATGGTCTTATCTACTCTGTACAACTCATACATTGTGGACATTAGCAGAATGACAAAGGAGCTCCCGGTTGATGAAGCCTCCTACTGAGCCATGACTGCACCAGATCTGCGCCTGCACCCATGCCCAAAAAATCTTCCAGAAAGTTCGTTGGTGCTTAAAAGGCCCTAAGGGAAGAGAACCTTTTCTCACTGTTTCCCTCCTCTTTAAGGAAGTGAGCTCCTGCAAAATACAAGGGGGCGGGTAACAAGTAAAGAACAGATCTATGTTTTTATCCTGTTCTTTTATGGTATTGTTTCTAGAAGACTTGGTAAACTGTCTTTCCTATGTTCTTTTAGAGAAATGAGCATACTATAGATATGCACCTATTAAAAATTAAAATGTTTACGAGTGTTTTTTTGGCATGAGAGCTTTTAAAAGATTACAAAATATATACTTAAATGCTTGACTCCAGAAGTTTTAAGACAGAAGGGTTTAATAAAAAAATAAATAAGTATACTATATTAATGATCTGAGTGTGAACAATAGCAAGGACTAGAAATTACCAAGAGAAACAAGAGGAACTAGATAAAAAAAAAAAAAAAAAAAAGAGGAACTAGATACTTTTGTGGGGGAAAAAGAATCTGAATGTCTGTGGAACATTAAGACAAAGGAATTATTTTAATCAAGATGGTTAATTTCAAATCTTTCATTCTGAGCCATGTGGGCCCAATTTATAATTGTCTAGTTTCACAGTATATATATTTGCCAGTTTGTGGCCTGTGTAAGTTTGGCTTTGGGCATCTGAGGAAACGAAGGAAGAAACTCCTTTCTGCCTTCCTTATTACTTCATCCTCTGCTAGCCTTCTCCTTTGTATATGACTACATCTACCAACATCTATCATTAAAATCTATGCCAAAGATATGATTAATTCCACCCATAACTGACGAATGTTTTCTGGTTGTATTTCTCAAGGCAAATATCCCTAATAATACCACATATTAAAAGCCGTATAAATACATAGATGGAGAAACAAAAACAGACACAGACCATGTAAGCAATAAAGAGTTCGTGCAGAACTAGAAACAAAATACAAGTTCACCTCAGTCAGAGGTATGGGGTTAATTTCTCTTGCTGAGGTTCAGGTTTCCCCTTGATGGGTCTTTATTGGTTCACAGAAGTTCCAGTGGAGGGGCATCTTTCTTCTTTGTTAACCAAACATGCCCAGGTAGAGCTGCTTCTCTTTCCGGTGGTAGCTGCTGAGTTCCGACTGCGTTAGCTGAAGGTACCGCCGGACACTGGCGTCTTAGAACAGGGCAAAGAAGGCAATTAGAGACAGGCCATAACCGTACCTCTGGGCAGAAGAGGATTATGAACACACTTCCATTTCCTAAAATCTTTCCATTTGCATATATCACAACAATTCTATGCAACAGTAAATCGCATTCATTAATTACGTGCATTATTAAAAAATCTTGTACAGGGATGCTAACTTAATAATGAAAAGGAGCTTGGAGAGATAGTTTTTGTCAGAGCAAGTCTCTAAAGCTACTATACATGGCTGGCAGTTAATCTATGTACTTGAAGGTAAGAAATGTGAACAACGGCTCATATATCTTTATTAATTCATAATGGCTTTCCCGTTCAATTAGAGAGATTTTGCTGAATTTTTGTAAGTTTGGGGACCCTCTTACTTCAGTAGCTGCTCTAAGCCAGAATGCAAAACGGGAGACAATTTTCAGTGCTGAACCACCAACACAGGAATGAGTCTGTCATTCTCTTCACAATATTCTTTTTCCCTTGGAAACAAGGGAAAGAAGCCTCAAATTTTCTCTCAGGAGGCCTGTCCTTCTTCTAGGTCATACCTGGGGTTAGCTGAGCTAAAGGATAAATGCATAGTTAAGCAAAGGCCAGACCCCAGCTGGAGAACTGGTAGAAATGAGGATTATCATGTTTATTCATTGGAATCCAGATCCTATTTTTGTCCCCATCTAGGAACTGAAACTTGAAAAACAACATTTTAAGATTATTTCTGGAGCACATACAATATTGCTTTCCTGTGGAGGCAAGAATACAGGAGTAGAAGGCCTGTTTATCATATATCTTTTTACATTTTTTGAATTTTGAACATGTGAATGTATTATTACCTATTTTCAAAATTCAATAAATTGAAAGCTAAAACACTCCCACAGATACTACCTCAGTGGAACAATTTTTTGTACTTACTACTTCAACCCCTTCTCTCACCTTTTGGTTGCCTGTTGACAGCGGCCATGAGGTAATGCCGAGCCTGGTCATAGTCCTGCAGGTGGAAGAAGGCCACTCCAGCCCGATACAAGGCCTTGGCATTATCAGGCTGTCGCTCCAGGACTTTCTGACTGTATTCTTTCACCCGTTCGTAGTTTACTGGCTCCATCTGAAGAAGACAGGCTAATGGGGCCAAATGGAAGGAAGAGAGAAGAGGGAGGAGGACCTTATTACACTAAGTTCCATTGCCCAACTCAAGGCAGTACCAAACCTAGGATGATGTCAACAACATTCACTCATCCAACAAATACATTTAAGTGCCCACCACATGCCAGACATTCTTCTAGCCATTGGGGATACAGCGGTGAATATAAGCTTTACATACCTCACAGTTTACTTCACTATCTACCAAATGCCTAGCACGTACCTAGTGTGGGTCAGGCCCAGCTATAAAAGTTGATAAGAACATATTTTAAAATTTATTTATGGGGACTTCCCTGGTGGTCCAATGGTTGGGACTTCGCGCGTCCACTGCAGGGGGTGCGGGTTCGATCCCTGGTCGGGGAACTGGGATGTTGCATGCTGCATGGCACAGCCAAAAAAAGAAAAAAACTTATTTAAAACTCTTCATTGCATCTCTTCTACCCAAGGCTCTCTGTCTTGAATCTCCCATTTCACCACAATGCTTGTACTGAAGCTCTGTTAACAACAACCGTTGCCATTAATTGTGTGAGGAAATAGTAAGCGCTGTGCTATGTGCTTCTTTAATCTTCTCATCCACCCTCTGAAGTCAGTATGTGTTACCATCTCCATTTAATGGATGAAGAAATCAAGGCTCACAAAGGTCAAGTAAGTTGTCCAAGATCCCACAGCTTCTAGGTGGAATGAGTAAGAAATCTGAACCAAGGACTCTCTAACTCAAAAATTACCACCATTCTCAATGATGATATATTACTTCACTATTCCCTTGGATGAAAGAATGGGACCTCAAACCACAAATCTGTTTAGGAGGCAAGGTTCAGGTCAGTGTTCTGCCTTTCTATAAGTAAGAAGGGAAATGCATTCCCTGTTTCATAACTGTGGGAATTAAACATAGCATTATTAAATCACGGTGCTGAGAAGGAAGGAGAATCAGGGCTGATGTCTGCAACCCTTCTACAACATCCCCGCCAAGTGGCCATATGGTTTATATCAATACTTAGGTACTTCCAAGCGGTCAGCTAACCCATCACTGTAGCTTCATTCATTCATTCGACAACTAGTTATGGAACACTGACCATGTGCTAGGCGGAGTTAGGAGCAGGAGAGGAGAGGAACGAGACAGACACCTTGACGAGTAAATAGAGCTTGCATCCCAGTTCCCACGTAGGAGGAATGCACTAAGAAATTCACTTATTTATTAGTGCTTTGAGGAAAACAGAACTGTGCTGGGACAGAGAGTGAATGAGGTCAGAGTGATGTTTGATTACAGAAGGCCTCCCTGAGAAAGTGACTTTTGGGCCAAGATCTGAATGACAAGTGTCATTCAAGGGACAGGGCATTCTACCTGACAGAAGAGATCCTACAAAGCTGAAAGGTGGACGCATGCTTTGTGAATTTGGTCTATGGAGGAGCCAGATCAGGTCAGGCCGTGCCGGGGAAGATCAGAGTTTGAATATTTTCCTAAGTGTAATGCGAAGCCATTGGACAGTTTTAGACAGTGACATGGTCTAATTTCCTTATCTGTAAAATGGGGAAAATCATAACTACCTTGCAGAATTTTTATAAAGATGAGAGATACTATAAATAAACTGCCCAACATGTAAACTTCACTCACATGTAAGTGAAATTTAATTTTAGTGAGTCTTTATGGAGCGTCTACCAAGCACCCCCAAGCAGAGGGTCTATAGATGGATAAGCTATAGTCTCTGCCTTCAAGTCCACCTGGAGAGTCACGATATTTACAAGTACCTATCTCATTTCCTTGATTTCTGGTCAATTCCCCAATGTGAATTCTATTCTCTAATAATGCACAGTATTCTCCAATAAGAGCTTAAGCTCTGCAATTAAGACTTCCCAGGTTTAATTTTAGCTCCACCACTTATTAGATGTTTCCTTAAATCTACCTCAAAGGATTGCTGTGACACTTAAATAGGTTTATGTGTATATGTGTATAAAGGGCCTAAACACGGTATTTCATAAACATCACCTTAACGAGCCTTCCCTGACCCCTACCTAACACTTCCATGCCTATGGCACTCACTATCCCCATTTTCTTTTCTTTTTTTTTTTTGGGGGGGGGCACTCCACACAGTCTGTGTGATCTTAGTTCCCTGGCCGGGGATGGAACCTGCACCCCCTGCATTGCAAGTATGGAGTCTTAACCACTGGACCGCCAGGGCAGTCCCTATCCCCATTTTCTGCTTCATTCTTTTCCACATTACTCATCACCTTCTAATATATGTTACCTCTTCTGTTAACTGTCCATCTCCCCATGAAAGCAGGGATCGTCATCTGTTTTATAATACTGCAGTATCCTCAGTACCCAATAAATAATTGTTGAATGAACTGAAATATTAGCTGCTCTAGACACTGTTACTTGAGTCTAAGAGGAGCTCTGGACACACACTGTAAAAAAGCTAGATTTTCACCAAATCACAGCTGACAAGTGTTGTAGAAAGCAAAAAAAAAAAAAAATCATTTAAACAACTATTACAAAGTATAAAAACTACTCCTGGGCTTCCCTGGTGGCACAGTGGTTGAGAGTCCGCCGGCCGATGCAGGGGACACGGGTTCGTGCCCCGGTCCGGGAAGAACCCACATTGCCACGGAGCGGCTGAGCCCGTGAGCCATGGCCGCTGAGCCTGCGCGTCCGGAGCCTGTGCTCCGCAACGGGAGAGGCCACAACAGTGAGAGGCCCGCGTACCGCAAAAAAAAACCCCAAAAAAACTACTCCTAATAATTTCTATGGCCTCAACTGGGACCATTAGAATACTTTAATATACTTCAAAATAACTTAATTAGCTCTATGGTTATTTTGCCTGCCATAAAACAGACCTAAGAAGTCTCCCTTCTTTTAGCAGATTAATCCTAGCGATACTAACTCTGGAATCCACCTCTTCATTTAAGGCCAGCTGGCTAAGGAAGATACTGGTTACCCAGGTTACCATCTAGCTGATTTATAGGAAGAAGGAAAATGAGGAAAAGCTATCCAAAATATCTAAGATGGATAACTTACACCAGCAGTTAAAGCAAGTGCCTTCTTTCCTATATTTTAAATATTAAAGAAACAACACTCTAAACGTAGGTTCACTATTTTCTCTATAGCGTGCGAAATTCCCTAAACCTATCAGCATCACCCAGGAGTTTGTAAGAAATGCAAA